CGTGCTCTCTTTCACGTCCGCGTTCCCAACCCAGCACCGCTGGGTTATTGATCAAGACCAATTTTCAACCTAAAATTGGGTTAAAACAACCCAACGTCCTTACCCAGCGGTCTCAACCCAGCATTTGGGTTGAAAAAACAACCCAGCGTTTTTTAGAGTAGAGGCCACTCCATGACCTTAATGTGCTTCTTCTTGAGCCACTCCTTTGTTGCCTTGGTGGTATGTTTCGGGTCATTGTCATGCTGGAAGACCCATCCATGACCCATCTTCAGTGTTCTGGCTGAGGGAAGGAGGTTCTCGTCCAAGATTTTACAGTACATGGCCCCGTCCATTTGCCCCTCAATGCGGTGAAGTCGTCCTGTACCCTTAGCAGAAAAACATCCCCAAAGCATAATGTTTCCACCTCCGTGCTTGACTGTAGGGATGGTGTTCTTGGGGTTATAATCAGCATTTCTCTCACTCCAAACATGGCGAGTCGATTTAATGCCAGAGAACTCAATTTTGGTCTCATCTGACCACAGCACTTTCTCCCAAGCCTTCTCTGAATCATTTAGATGTTCTTTGGCAAACTTTAAACGGGCCTGTACATGTTCCTTTTTGAGCAGGGGGACCTTGCGGGTGCTGCAGGATTTCAGTCCTGAAGTGTGTGTTAGTGTAGTAGTGTGTTACCAATGTTTTGCTTGGTGACTGTGGTCCTCAACTGCCTTAAGATCATTAACAAGCCCTCACCTTTCTCATGATCATCCTTACCCCATGAGGCGAGATCTTGCACAGAGCTCCAGACCGAGGCCGATTGATGGTTGTTTTGTATTTCTTCCATTTCCGAATAATCGCACCAACAGTTGTCTCCTTCTCACCAAGCTTCTTGCTGATGGTCTTGTAGCCCATTCCAGCCTTGTGCAGATCTACAATCTTGTCTCTGACATCCTTTGACAGCTCTTTGGTCTTGCCCATGGTGGTGGGAGAGGTTGGAATGGAAGATACAGATTGTGTGGACGGGTGTCTTTACACATTAGGAGTAACTTCTTAAAGTGGCAGGACTACTCTGTGTTCCACATGGGCATATAACCAATCTGTGGGAGCCAGAATTCTTGCTGGTTGGTATTGGAATGGAAGATACAGTTTGTGTGGACAGGTGTCTTATACACCTAACGAGCTGACATTAGGAGTAACTTCAGGACTAATTTGTGTTCCACATGGGCACATAACCAGTCTGTGGGAGAATTCTTGCTGGTTGGTAGGGGATCAAATACTTATTTCACTCACTGAAATGCAAATCAATTTCTAACCTTTATATAATGTGTTTTTTCTGGATTTTTTGGTTGATATTCTGTCTCTATCCGTTAAAATAAACCTACCATAAAAATTACAAACTTACAAAATCAGCAGGGGATCAAATAAATATTTTCCCCACTGTATGTTTCTTCAAGCATCTTGGAGACATTGCCACAGTTCTTCTGGATTGAGTCTGTCTCAGTTTGTTCTGTTTTTTCATGTCATTCCAGACAGACAGGATGATGATGAGATCAGATCTCTGTGTGGAGCACTGGATATTGTCAGACTCCTTGTGCAAACAAAAACCTCACTGGATTATTACAATTAATGTCAAAAAATAAAGTTTACCGGCCGTGCTGTTTAATGTAACACCGCAAAAGCGAAACGTGTTGGGGTGGGTGGGGGCGCTCGGCCTGACAGAAACTCTACGCCTTTTTTTACGAGCCCCACGTGTGACTCTGCGTACGATAGTTTTTCTTCCATGTTAACTACTTTAGACATGTAAAGTTTAACAAGAGCCATAAAGAGAAATCCATTTGTGAGATCTCAGGAGCTCGAGACCTGAGCTTCGGCGTATGTAATTCAATCTCGCTCGCAGAGACATCAACACCAGCTCAGGCTAAAGGAAATTAAGACCTTAGGCAACAAATAAACACTCTCAGCCGACTGATGAACTGCAAGAAGTGCCAATAAATTCAGTAATTCAATATTAGTGTTTCATGATTTATTTTTAAAGAATGAAAATAAGTGTTAAGTTGCCAATTAGAATAATATATGTGTATTTATTTTTTTCCTACAGAATGTTGTTTTTTAATCAAAAAAGAAAATGTAAACTGTGAAATAAATGCAAATATATCCAGTTTCAATTCAAATTTTTCAGTGTTGTATTCTGGGGCACAATAATATTTGCAAAAAATTGATATTATTATTTGCAATATTTAATGTTGTTGCACTTCAATGATAATTCAATTCCACCATATAAAGAGTACAATATATGTTACTTTTGTTAAACCTAACTACTGTTCGAAAGTTTGGGGTTGGTATGTTTTTTTTTTTTTTACAAAGTATATATATTTTGCAAGTCTCTTTCACTAACTAAAGTTGAAAAAGTGAAAAAGCATAATAGGACCCCTTTAACAAGGCTGCATGTATTCGATCAAAAGCACAAAAAAAACCTAAAATATTTTGAGAGTATTACAATTTAATATGTTTAAAATTACTAAAATATTTTTAGTTTGAAATAACTAAATATTTTCATGTTTTAAAACATGATTTATTCCTGTGATGGAGTAGCTGAATTTTAAACAGCCATTACTCCAGTCTTCAGTGTCATAGAAATCATTCTAATAAGCTGATATGTAAAATATTTCTTATTGTCAATGTTGAAAATAGTTTAATATTTTATGCTAAATATTTCTGTGGAAACTGTGATAAAAATTTTTCTCATGATTCTTTGATGAACAAAGTTCAAAAGAACAGCATATATTTAAAACATAAATCTTCTGTAATATTATAAATGTCTACTTTGATCAATTTAGTGTACCCTTGTTGTATAAAATATTAATTTCTTAAAAATAAAAAAAAAAGAACTTACCCCAAACTTTTGAATGGTAGTGAGCATTCTGGATTTGTTTTGTAGATAAGTTACAGAATTGAACAATTGTTATGTCAAGTTCAGTAAATGTGTTAAACATATTTAATAAATCCATGCAACAATTCATTGCAACTTTTACATTTTAGTCACAAAGCTGCAATTATTTCCAAGTCAGCACTGCTATAATTATTTTGTGAAACATTATTTTGAACAAGGCGTTTTTTGTCCATACATAAAAAATGAGTGAGTTCCAGTGTTGTACACATTTAGAGTGACATGACTTTGAGTAAGTGATTACAAAATGCTCATGTTTGTGTGAACTAACCTTTTAAAATGATGTCTGAGTATGCAACTCACTAGGTTTTGGAACAGGATGTTTTTCATGGAGACCACATAAACCCACCTGAAGCACTCTTCTGTGCTCTTATAACCTCTCCTGCTCTCACGAATAAAGCATTCCTCAGAGGGCAGACAGATGTGAGCCACTGAACTTTAGGACTCCATGCTTCTCTGTGATCATCAAGCCCTCCGTGTGTGTGTGTGTGTGTGCATATGTGTTTGTGTGAGTGTGACCCGATGGCCGCTATGATCTGAGGCTCGTTATGCACCGCCGAGCATGCTGGGTAGCGGTAAACAGCCTGTGATTACCGAGAGAGCAGGTGATGTGTAACAAAGGACTTTTACGCACACATCCCCATTTATACGTTTACATGCACACAGGCCGGTGCAAAAACCCGTGTCACTCTGTTTTAAAGAGAGGGAGGAGAGCTATAAAAGAGAACGCTATAAAGAAAACTCATGGCTGAAACTCGTTCGGCGATGACAGTACGTAACAAGCTGCCAACCGACGCAGATTTACAATATAATATACTCATCTCCTGTTACACTTACTAAAGACTTGCACACACGTTGGGACAGTTTTGGATATGTAAGATGTGTTTAATTGATTCCTGACAAAGAGCTTACGCATAATGTTTTGAGTCGGCAGCCGTTTATGCTTGCTTATGTTTACTGCTCCTTCCGTAAAATGGGTGGTCTTGATGAGGCTTATGTCTGCTTAGTTTAGAGATGCATAAACCATGATACTTGTCTTATGATATAAGCTGTTGAGAACTGCGAGAACTGTTTGTTTTAATGACTTTCCTACCTTTTTTCCAAGAATGTACCGGGCTGAGAAGCTCCCAAACACAAATTTGGTTTTTTTGATCTCTGACGCCAAGAGTTCCTGTCTGTCCTGCGATCCCAAACCACTGAGACAAGCTGAACAGCCCTGTATCCTTCAAATGATTCACTCGTGTTCAATCAGTAGAGCATAATGCTTGAAACAACAGAGTCATGGGTTTGATTCTTAAAGGAATAGTGCACCCAAATATGAAAATTACCCCATTATTTACTCACCTTCAAGCCATCCTAGTTGTATATGACTTTCAGACAAATCCAATCGGAGTTATATAAAAAAATGCCCTGGCTCTTACAAGCTTTATAATAGCGTTGAATGGGGGTCGAGATCCAGCATAGAAGTACTCCACACAGCTCTGAGGGTTAATAAAGGCTTACGCTACACCTACATCCTACGCCATCTGCTGGAACGCCACTCTCTCGTGAATGTGCGTACTACAGTTAGCAGAAGTTTGAGATTATTGTTTGTAAAGGTTTAAATATGGATATTTTTCTTGCACAAACGCATCGCTTTGCTTCAGAAGGCGTTTATTAACCCCCCTGAATCATTGGTCTCAAACTCAATTCCTGGAGGGCCACAGCTCTGCACAGTTTAGCTCCAACCCTAATCAGACGCACCTGATCCAGCTAATCAAGCTCTTCAGGATTACTAGAAACTTCCAAGCAGGTGTGGGTTGGAGCTAAACTCCGCAGAGCTGTGGCCCTCCAGGAATTGAGTTTGAGACCACTGCCCTGAATGTACTTTTTTGGACTTCAAAAAATGGGGTAATTTTCATTTTGGGCTAACTATTTAAGGAAAGCATGAAGTATTTATTTATTTGTTTATTTATTTAGCTAGCTCAAATATGATGCACTAAATTGATCAAATTTGCTGTTCTTTTGAACTTTCTATTAATAAAAGAACCCTGAAAAAAAATCATAGTTCCATCAAAAAATTAAGCAGCAGACTTTGTCTACATAATGACAATAATAATAAGATAACATAATTATGATAATAAGAAATATTTCTTGAGCAGCAAATCGGCATATTAGAATGATTTCTGAAGGATCATGTGACAATGAAGACTGGAGAGATGATGCTGAAAATTCAGCTTTGCCATATCAGGAAGAAATTACATTTTAAAATATATTCAAATAGAAAACAGTGATTTTACATTGTAATCATTTTTCACAAAATTACTATATTTTTACTGCCGTTTTAAATCAATGCATAAATCCAAGTAAGTCGCTTTGGATAAAAGCATCAAACACATAAAGAATTACACTTTTTCTTATTATTATTATGACTTTTTTGCATACTTTTAGGTTTTCAGATTTAAACAACACAAATAACACAGACAATCAACCAACCAATAAATAAGTAAATAAAAATCACAACAATAAATAACTCCCAGACCACTACAGTCCATAAAAGTTCTTCATATTTTAGGCCTCAGAAGAGCCATTAGAGGTCGACTGAGTGGTTACTATGTCTAAGTACCCACCCAAGAAATGGGTCCCAAACAGAGGAAAACAAATTGATTGAATTAGTCCTCAAGTATCTAAGCCTGTCCAACTCTTTTTTTTTTTTTGCAGTTTTGGCTATTGTCCTTATTGATTTCTTTCAGCTACTGGTCCTGATCCATGTGTGCTGACCCAGAACCCTCGGTACAGGAAAGGACCGGACGTCTGCTTTGACAACAACGCAGATGTAAGTTATAACCAAAATGGGTATTTCTCAACAAATGCATCTTCATCATTCACTGCTTGCTTTTCTTCTTTTTTTAACTAACATCCATTTCCTTTCTGTTTGCACGTTGAATGCTCATTGGTTGCTCATCATGCCTGTCACTGCTAGGATGGGCCTTTGTGTCCAATCAGTGGCTCTTCTTCATTGACCTATTACCCATCCATCATTTTGCTGCTGTTTCTGCTTTGTGTTTGATGGTCAGTTTCATCTTGTTGTGTGCTGCCATTTATATTTCGAACAATTTCTTTGAATCGTTCTTAACTCTTTATTGAATTAATTGTAGCATGCTGGACTTTATCTGGTTGTCATGTCATATAAGGGTCTAGATGTAGGTTAAAATACTGTTTATTCATTGCCTCAGTATGGATCTAGAGGCAGGACGCCACTGCTTTCCTCCTGCTGTGAAAGTAGGAAGTGCATTTTCAGCTAGTTCCCTGAGAGATTTTCTGTGGAATAAACATAGGAAACTCCAGATGTGTTTCCATCCTAAGGTTGATGATACGCCCCTATGCCTCTCAAACCTGGGGCATCCCAGGACTTTCATTGGCAAGCCCTTCACGCACATACTGTAGCACGCAAGTCTAGTTTCAGAAGACCAGAACATAGACCATCAGTCAGAGTCGTGCATTATTTCTACAGCAAGAGTTTTTGCATGCGTCATTGATTTGATTTATTCCTTTTCACTTCAGCCAAAACATGTTTTGATATTCACAATATATTTTTTTTATTTTAGTCTTTTGATTGAGTTGCATTCTTTATGGATAGTTGTATTACATATCTTTAAACAAAAAGACAAGAAAATTACTAACTTTAAATAAAATAAAATAAAATAAAAACAACTTAAATATAGACCTTTAACAAAATTTCAAAGATAGTAAAATAACACTGGTCCAACAACATCGTTAGCATGTGTTATGTTAGTGGTATTTGTATACCATTGCAGTATTTATTAATTAGCTTTTTATTTTTATATTTTCAGCTTTCGTTTTAATTTAGTAATTTTAATATTTTTGTTTTGTGATTTTTTTTTTTTCATTTATTATTATTATTATTGATTTGTTAAATTATTTTAATATTTCTATTTAGCATTCATTTATTTTTTGTATCTGTTTTAATTTTAGTACTTTTACTTCAACGTTCGTCAATTTTGAGCTAAAGCAACATAAAAAAAACGATTAAAAATAAAACAATAAAAACAACATAAAAATTATTAGAAATGTTAGAAGTTTTACTTCTATTGTTTATATTTAATTTTATTTCAGCCTTAATTCAATTTTAGTTTTTGTTAACAATACAACACTGGTTAAAGCAGATAGACCACCTTAAACCAGAAACAAACCAGATGCAATGTTTTAAAAAACAGGTGGAAACTCTTAAGGTCTTTGCACACCGAGTCCGAAATTTTCACAGGTTAAAAAATAAATACAACCTCACGTTGTGTCAATCACATTTACACACTGCCTCCGAAACATTCGTCCGTCATAAAAAAAATTAAAATAAAAAATCGGATCAGGTTCTATTTTCTGCGTTTTTGCATCCATAGCAAGCATTTTGATAGGAAAGTATGGCGAATACAAAAGAAAAGAAGAAAACGCATATGAAAATTTCAGACTTTGTGTGCAAGGTCTTTTAAGCTGCTTTGATTGAACTGAACTGTCTGGCCTGACTGTGTTATGTAGGTGTGTTTATGTGAGGTTGAAATCACTAACGTCTCTGTATTGACCGCAGGAGGACGCGTCTGACTGTGGTGGTGGCTGCAGTTTGAGTCCGTCTCTCTGGCTGATGTTGGCTCTTCAGCTCCTTCTACTCTGGCTGCTTACTGGAACCAGAACCTGTTTGTCCTGACCAGAGCACATCTACAGACTAGAAACAACAACTACTGACTGAACTGCTTATTATACAGACCACAACATAACCACACTTCGACTATATGACCTAAGATTGTTTGTTTGTTAGTCAACCCAAAACAATACGACTAATGCAGATTCAAACTCTACTGTAAAATTGACACGACTCATCAACTCACTGCCAAATACTGCCCTCTCAGACCAACCAGAAAAAGCAACACAGTCAGACACGAGAGACATATATACACTTATCTTTTTGACTTTTTAACACAGGAACCACGTTATGACCACAGAAATGGTTCATGCAAAATGTTTAGTGCCGCAAATATAATGTGTCAACAATGTGGTCAGAGACGGCTTGCAGCACCAGCCCGGATCTGAAGCGGGGTTTAATGGGACAGGAAAGACTGTTCAGCTCTGGAGCTCATTATGAATTCTGCTGGAAGTGAGCTTTGCAGCAGTAGTAGGTCAGTGATGTCACACCCAAGCCCTTTAGGCCCATCAAGGGCTGTTTTTCTTGTTTTATGTTCTTTGATTTCTCTGGTATGTGCAGTAGGGGAAATCTCATGAAGAAATCTGTAAGTCATATTTCACCTCAACATTAAAAGATATGAATATAGTATATACAGTACCATTGAAAAGTTTGGGGTTGGTAAGAATTTTGTAATGCTTTTGAAAGAGGTCTTTTATGTTCACCAAGACTGCATTTATTATTAAGAATACGGCAAAATATTCTTACAATTAAAAAAGAAACTGTTTGTATTTTAATGTTTTTAAATGTAATTTAATGTCAAAATGTTACAATTATTTTTTGACATTGTAAAAGTGTTTACTGTTATGTTTGATTAATGCATCCTCGCTGAATAATATTTAAGTAATATTTTATTGCATAATATTACATTATTAGTGTTTACTGTTATGTTTGATTAATGCATCCTTGCTGAATAATATTTAAGTAATATTTAAATATTATTTAAAATAATGTAATATTTATAAAAATATAAAAAAAAGTTTAAAAAAAAAATCTTACTGACCCCAAAGTTTTAAACAGTGGTGTTGTGTGTATGCTTTAAAAAAAAGTATTTACAATTATTATATTTCAAATATTTTTTGCTTTTCACATTAGAATAAATAGCAAGGTTTTGGGAGAAAATCATTGCCATGAAAATAAAGTCAGTATAGACTTTCTTTATACAGAAAAAAAAGTGTGTGTGTGTGTAATTTTTTTTTTTTTTTGAGGTGACATATGACCTGGACATTTCTTTTCAGTTCATTTGAGATTCACCCAATGTGATTTTATCAAATGTTATCGTTATTTTTGCTAGGTCTTTGGGCTTGGCGTTCTTTTGTTGCTGATTATAAACATCCCAGAGATCCCCTGATAACTCGAACATCTGAGGTAACTGTAAGCATCTGATATAAACGTTCGAAAAAACTGCCATGTTGAATGTCACGATTCAAGGAAAATGTCATATGCGATCAAACCCCATATGAGTGCATCATCTGATGCGAAATGCAGACGACTCTAAAGCCTGAACAGGCTCCAATTAGTATAGCGAAGCCTTTTTTGTCGTGTCAGAAGTCACACGCTTGTGTCCAAGTGTCCAGAGCATGTTGAATGTGCTTTGTACCCTCCCCATCCCGTCTGCAGGGCCCCTGCTATCAGACGATTGCGTTTTTTACTGTATGTCGTCCAGATATTTCATCTGTCAGATTTTGTTCCAGCACGACAGACATGATATCACAAGCGTGTCAGATATTACATCCACATGTTGAACCACTATGCGAAAACACAGCACATGACAGGTTATAAAAATGCTCAACCCTGGAGAATCGTGCATTTATGATGGTTGAATGTATGTTTGTTTTATTTATTTATTTGATAGAAGGTCCGTGCATGAGATTAGACGATATCAATCAAAGCTATTGCCAACGGGGGAACATTTCCGTGTTCCTTTGAATGTTCTGGAAGAAGAACAAAAACCAATGGCAATGCCTAGAGCTATGAAAAATGAAATATTTATCCATCACAATCCAAAGGCCAAGTATCCAGGAATAAAATAACATGCTTCTCTCATCGTTTCAGAGAAGTTTTAACATTTGACGGCTTAAAAGCTTTGTCTATTTTAAAATATAAACGTACAATCAGTGTTTGCATGAGTTCTATGGCTTGATATTCATGCAAAAAATAAATTATGATGGCTTTATTAGACTGTATGGAGCTTTATAGTTTTTTTGTTAACGCTTTTTTGATGAGGAGGCTGTTAAAGTGATGTAATTACAGTGATGATATTAAGTGCAACTGAAATTAAAGGCGGAAGGTTTAATGTCATAGTGATTGCCAAATGAGAATGAAATGTAAAGAAACGCACGAGGTAGATTTAAAGTAAAGTGTGTGTTTAGTTTACTGGATGTCCGCAAAATATCGCTCGCACCTGTGCGTCCACGTCAGACTTTTTCCTTCGGAATGAGATGAATTTTTCTTTCTGTCTTCACTGATGTAGCATTGAGTTACAGACCTAAATATGCAGTGCATTTATGAATCATTACAAACGTTTTTGGACTCCTCGGAGGCTTTCGGGGTCTGGATTTCTCATCTCAGGCCTGGGGTGGAGGCTGTAGGACGTAACATTTAAATACCTCACTAAACGACGATGTGAGATGTGATTTGATCCAAGAGAGCTGAACTAACTCCCCTCTTTACAAACTATACTGGGTTTAAAATGCCAGCGAAATGTATACAAACCCCACAGAGACCGCTTCACCGTTTGAACGCAAATTGATCCCATGCCATGTCCGACAAAGAACGTCCACAAAGCATGAAGCAGGTTAATGACATGATTATTCTAAAACTAAAAACTTGAAATCTGGCAGTGCCTACACGGTTAGTCAAGAACTGCGAATTACCTAAAAGTAGCATTCATCTGGGGATTTTATTGGCTCGCTTCAAAACAAAGTGTTTTCATATGTTATCCATCATGATGGAGTACAAGATTTTTTTTTTTTCAACTTAAAAAAAAAAAAAATTTCTGACACGCTCTTAAAAATAAAGGTTTAAAAATTAGAATAAAATCATAAAGCATTTTTGGTTCTTCAGACTACTTTTCAGTGAATAGTTCTCAAAGGAATTGTTCACCCAAAAATGAGAACCTCGTCGGCGCCGATAGATTCGTGGTTAGTGCGTCGACATACAGCGCGGCTGCGCTCACGGCAACCCGAGTTCGATTCCCGTCTCGAGGTCCTTTGCCAATCCTGCTCCCAATGCTTTCCTGTTGTCACTCTACTGTCCACTCTACTCAAACCTCAGGCCATCCAAGAACGAGATGAGTTTGAATCCAATAGATCCTCTGCAGTGAATAGGTGCCGTCAGAATGAGAGTTCAAACAGCTGATAAAAACATCACAATAATCCACAAGTAATCCACACAAATGATAATGCTTCTTCCAGTGAAAAAAGTCTGTTCGCTGTTGTCCTCTCATATCAAAATTAAACATGTTTGTTTCTAACTGTTTTAGATTTGTAAACAGATTTTTCACTGGATAAAGCAATATTATGGATAGAGAACTCTGTTACAAACACAGCTTTTCGCTTCACAAGATGTTATATGATGGACTGGACTCATAACTTGTGGATTATTGTGATGTTTTTATCAGCTGTTTTGGACTCTCATTCTGACGGCAACCATTCACTGCAGAGGATTCAATGGTGAGTAAGTGATGTAATGCTAAATTTTTACAAATTGTTCAGGATGAAACAAACTCATCTACATCTTGAAAATAACTTAAGTGCCAGTAATTTTTCAATAAATTTTTATTTTTGGATGCACTATTCCTTTAAAAGAACCTTTTTTTTTCTTAGTGTGAAGAATATTTTAATCATCTAAAGAAACTTTTCCTCTATAAAGAACCTTTTTTGGAATGGAAAGTTCTCATGGATGTTAAAGCTTATAGATACCGATAAAGAACCTTTATTTTTAAGAGTATATTGTAGATCAATTGATTAAGAAGTAGTGAAAAAAAGACACTCCAAAGTCTAAATCATGAATCCAAAAAGTTAAAATCAATACAATCTTTTTCATAAAAAGCATTCCACTTTACATAAGAGGGGACAGACATTTTTAAGTGTGTTCAGGTTTGCATGGTGCTCCCGCGATGCTCTTTGACATTTCGACCCTCGCATGAAAGGTTAGACGTGTACAGACGTGCCCCCCCTCATGTAAAGAGGAATCGGATGCGTGTATTTATTGTATGTTTTCTGAATGCTGCTCTCAGCTGTTGTGCTGCCTCATAGGGCTGCCATGTGTCTGTATTTACTGGTGTTGGTGCTCGGTGTGCCGGAAAGTTTTCACTGAGGTTGCGCTTATTTTCCTGAGTGTGTATCGAAGTCACTCTTTGATTCGTGTGTGTTCATTGGTGGGGAGGGGTGTAAGGGGCGTGGTATGTGCCTCAAAGCCCCGCCCCCCTCACTATATATATATATATATATATATATATTCTTTTGTGGAACTTGACACGCCTGAAACGATTTTGTATACATTTGTACAATTATGTTGTTCAAGAAAATAAAACAAAAAAGTTTGTAAAGTTTACAAATGTGTAATTCTTGTGCAAATACAATATATTCACAATAAAAGTTTATCATTACTACCTATGGGTTTAATATTGTAATTTGTTTGTTTGTTCATCTATCTATCTATCTATCTGTCTATCTGTCTGTATTGTTCTATCTATTGTAAGTGGTGCTAGCGGAGCACCCTAGCAATCCAAACCCAGGCATATCTTTAAATCTGAATGTGGTTTATATCAATCATACTGGCAAGCAACCATTTAGCAAGACCTACATCTCTGCATCCAAACATCGTATATAGGTTGGCTCTTTTGACTCGTATATACAGAACTTCCAATATGCTACACATGAAAGCAGTGAATAGCTACATGCTAATAGTGATTAACAAAGTGCTAAAACAAGATAAAAATCCCAGCTAATACTTAAAAACCTAACAACATGTTAAATCCTATTGGCATTGCAAAACATGCTAAGAACATGTTAAAGGGGTCATATGATGCGATTTCAATTTTTCCTTTCTCTTTGGAGTGTTACAAGCTCTTGGTGCATAAAGAAGATCTGTAAAGTTGCAAACACTAAAGTTTCAAAACCAAAGAGATATTCTTTATAAAAGTTAAGAGTTAACCACGCCTACCTAAAACGGCTCGTTCTAACACACCCCCACATACCTACTGGATAGCTGGCCAATCACAGCATACCTCGCTTTTTCAGACCGATGAGCTTTGTAAAAATCGACGCGTTTCAAAAAGGCGGGGCATAGAGGAGAAACAATAATGTACAGTATGTGGAAAATAATGTGTTTTTTTAACTTTAAACCGCATAAACACATTTCATTACACCAAATACACAAAATAATGTTCTTTTTAGCAGCGTCATATGACCCCTTTAAAACATCCTAAAACATGTTAGCATCAAGTTAACATCATGTTAACAGTGTTAGCATTATGGTAAACACAGTAGCATCTTGCTTAAATGCTGTTAAAAGTATTAGCATCATGCTAATCATGTTAACTTCATTTTAACATGTTATTCATGTTAGCATCTTGTTAAAAA